ACAAAATTTTGTAAAAAATGAAACAATCTTCGTATATGTATAGTGTTACGTTTAGTTGTGGTAGTAATTAGTAAGTAGTGTGTCATTCAACACATTTACTGATCACTAATCAACTAAACATAACACTATATATGTACGAATATTCAAGATGGCGACGAATTGGTCCAAGTCATTTCATTTGGCAAACCTGGCCACATACGGAACATTTTTCGTGACCACTTTTTTTCTCTCTACATTATCGAGATAACTCTCCTTACTCTTCCTTCATGGTCTGAAAGTTGGAAAGTGGGAAAAATAAATGTCACAATTCTGGTATTTCGCTCGATACGATTATGATACCTCAGGACTCAAAAAGTACTTAATGAAAAAATACTTTATTGCAGTGTTTTGAAAAGCTCTCGAGATAAGCTACAAGAATATGTAATAAAAAAAGGGGAGTTCCATTTAAGAAAACGTCGATCACATTGATCTCACCTTGAAAAGGTCACTCAAGGTCAAATCCATATTTTTATCATATGTCCCCCTCCGAACCCTGCAACTTTTGTTTGAAAAATTTTTTTAGATAAATCTTACTTTCCGAGATATTTTACAGTTTCAAGTTAAAAAACTCACCCTGTATATACAGGGTGTATCCTAAAAAGTGGGAAGTATTGCAATGGGGGATTCAGGACACAAAAATAAGAGTAAAAGTTCATATAAACATATGTCCGATATGATCTTGTTTTCAACCCAGACAGCACAAAACGTCCTCAGGATCACCCTGAATATGTCCAGGATGGTTCAGGATATTTGTAGGATGTTTTAAGATATTATTATAAATATATTTTATGAAAATTTAATATGCATACATGATTACTTTCGGTTATGTAGGCTATTTAATATAATTTAGAAATTTTAAGTATTGTAATAAGTATTAATGTCCTATAAATGTCCATTGGATAACCCCTGGATGTCTGTAGGATACCTGCCCTGTCTATTATATTGAATGTCCTTTGGATTTCCAGAGGACATATACATGTGCAATTAACTGTTAACATTAATTTCGTTTAATATTAATAATTGAATTTGATGCGCACATTTTCACATATTCAAAATTATTATTTATTTAATAATTTATGAGAAATGTTACTATGCGCAACATTCCAAAAACTTTACAAAAAATAGTATTCAACCGCTAGTTCGTTAGTTTACCGCTATGCGACGCGCAAACTCGTATTTGAGATTTGGTCATGAGAATTATATAAAGCTTGCAAAGAGCAACTAACAGGAAATATTTTAATCGAAAGTTTATTAAGAGTAAAAACTCCGGATAAGCTACTTGGTAGCGTCGCGGCCCCTATGCATAGGCAAACACTTGTGCATAGGCAAATCGTTTTTTCATATACTTGGCGTCGCGCCGTTACCGTGTCGCTTGATATACATGTTACTTTATGTTTAGTTTATTAAATTCCTTATTTATCGATACATGTGCTGTTTTATTAACGACTGTTGCGAGATCTTTATAGTTTTTTCTTGTTTCATGCACACAGTGCAGTGCGCGAGATCGCAACGGATCACAGACATTGAGAGATTAATTTTATAGTAAATATATAAACAAATAAAGTTGTAACTGTTCTCACATATTTGCGCAAAAATCTAACAATAAATTATGAAATACATGTAAAAATATCAAATAAAATATGTAAAAATACATATTATAAGTGATAAATTTTAACAATTTTCAAAAAGTAAGATGCATTAGAAGTCGGATTATAATGAAAAGGGCATTAGCAAGCTTTTATCAGCGGTTTCTCTTTACGATTTTCCGATAAATGTAAAATTACTAATATAATCTCGGAATTAGCTTTTAAAAATTGATTAAATGATTAAAAATCGTACCTAGTGCTTTGCCTTTGCCAAGAATAACCCAAGAAGCGGAGGAGTAAAAAAGACCGTGTTGCAGTAGCACAGGTAAGAGAGTCGTTGCCACCTGGGATACGATGTAAAGTCAAAAAATAACCATCCTCGGTCATGATGACGTGAGTTTCTACGGGATAACCCGCTCTTCTTATCATCTCCGAATAAAAAAAGAATCAGTAAAAAAGAAGATACTTTCAAAATTCTAATGTTACAATAAATTTGTGCGATAAAATAAATATGATATTTATTTTCGAAATAATGATGAAGCGGTTCTACAATAATAATAATATAAATGTATAAAACGTTAATATGAGTAAATAATATAAAAAGAGATTATATAATAATAACACAAAAGTAAATATTTACGAAATTCAAATATATATATAGAGAAAAGCAGGGTAAAACCGGGTAGGCGGGTCAAACCGGGTATCTCTGATTCTTTGTGATAAATGCTACTATCTTTGGCTAACTCGTGTTATTAGTTGTAGATTGATGCCATTATTATTTTAAGATGAACAATGCACACGTGCACACGATATTTCTTTTTTGAGAGAAGTTCAAAATTTTCGGGCCAAAAAAGATCGATATCAGGGCAACAATATCAAATCGTTATGGATTTTTTCTACACAGAGCATCTGCTTCGGTACATGCAGCTTTGCATTCTGTACATATTAGAGAGTATATCGCATTAGTTTTGATCGTCACTTTGTACACCTATATATATTGCCGCCGTGTTTGTTATTTTCTTCGTGTTGGGGCAAAACCGGGTACCTACATACTTCATGTAATGAAAAAAAGAAAAACTGTTATTCTGACTTTGTCTCCTTACAAAAAGCAATTGAAAACGAAAACTATTACTCAGAAAAGGAAACCACTAAAAAAAACTTTGTGAAACCACTAAAGTTAAAAAATTAAATAAGAAAGTCCTGCAGCAATGTAGAACAAAAGAATATCTTTATTTGTGATTTTTGTCAATAGAATACATCTTTGTATTGTATTTTGATTTAAATAAATCTAGATTTTGTAATTGCACGGTATTTTACATGTTTTCAAATGGGTACCCATTTTTACCCTACCGTAGAGCAAAACCTAGTATTCTGACTTCTTCAAAAAATCTTGTTATCCTTGTTAACCAAATTTTTTTTCCAGCTATTAGCCTCATTTTCTCATAATTTAAGGTCCACTAAAGACTACTAACGGTCAGCAAATTTTTTTTTACTCTCTGATTTTTTGTAGGAAGACAATTTTAAAAAAAGTACCCGGTTTTACCATACTTTCTCTTATACAGAGTGTCTGATAATAATCGCCCCACCCGCAATGTGCAGATAGAGCGGGTTAAACTGAGCAGGAAAGTCCGTACCATTTTGCGATTTTTATAATAATTTTTGAGAAATTAATTAATAAAGATCGACGAATTTGCGCAAGTATAAGCGCGCAGCGAAAAGAGACAACCCAAAAGTAGGCACGCGACAAAACTTTGGGAGGAGCGCTCTACGAATGACAACAATTACGTACGAGTGGCACATAACGATGGATTTTCGCGTTTTAGCAACCACATATCAATGCCGTCCATACAGGCCGTCCTTTCTCACGATAATACTCAACCTTTTTAAATCAATTTCTCATTAATTTTTGCGAAAATTGCAAAACAGTACTTTCTTACTCGGTTTAACTCGCTCTATCTGCATATTATGTGTGGAGCGATTATTATCAGACACCCTGTATATACATATGCGACTTTTATATGCTAATATTTATTTTACATTTTATATATTTTATTGTATATTCTTAAAACAAAACAAAATTTAATAGCAATTAAACGATACTAATAATTAAATATTAAGATGATTCTAAAAAAGAGATTTACATATTATTGTAGACATAATTAACGATGATGTATAATTTTGTAAAATTTAGATTTCAATTTAGTTAGATTTGAATTTTGAACAAAAGAGCAGCAATCGAATATCGCATTAGATCGCTTTCAATAATTTTTTGACAGCATAGATGGAAGCTAATTGAAATAATGAAAATTTTAATCCTCATTTCACAAAGGCATACTTACCGTATTGAGAATTGCATCGGGATTGACTCCGGTGTTGTTCGGCCAAATCCAGTTAATCCAAGATATTTTTATCTTCATGAATGCGCTTGGCTCGAACGTCACGTCTGTCAGCATCGATACAAGATAACCGTAAAACAACACTAAATATACGATCCCAATCAATTTCATAGCATCAATGAGTGATTCAATAATCAATAAAAAGAAACAAACGTTATGAGAGTTTTCTAAAATATTAAAATATATATTATCCAAAAAATAAGCATACACGTAAGAGCGAGATAAATACGACTGTGTGTATTTGCTGGTTACACACTACTTATTACTAAAATGAATCGTCATGTTATTTACTGCGTCATATTATTTTTTATTAGCTAAAAGGCAGAAAGAGAGAAAAGTATTATCGCAAAAAATATATATGTATACTGCGTTCATGGAGAGAACAACCTCGCTTTTCGTTCGGTTCGGTCAGATCCCGCCCGACCGATCCATTTTGCCCCCTCCACGCTGCCAAAATTGGTCTTGCAGCTTGCAGATCCGGCTAGCCGACAAAGGGGACCCTATTTATTTATAATAGTATTAAATTTTAATAATAATTTTTAGATTGCAAAAAGAGAAAATAAATATAATAGATATATCGCGATTTAATTAAAAAGAGTAATAAAATTCGACTAACAAAGAACAACTCAAGCTTTCAATATTATGACATTTCTTTCGAGCTTTATAGGCGGATCACATACGTGATACACGATCGATACGCATACGACATACGACATTGAAGTAGCGCGCTGAAATCTCTCACCTAATCCCCACTTCGCCCAAAGCTGCGCGGAGCGAGATCGTTCTCTCCGTGAACGCAGTATAGTGTTTGAATAAACAAAATAATTATCTAGTATATACAGGGTGTCCTAAAACTACCATA